CAAGCAAGCCAAGATTAGTTCAGAAAGGAATTAGTTAATAGTCCATAAACAAGTGAAAGTTGCTTAGACAAATGGCTCCACCCAACAAACTTAAATCAACTGGGCAAAAATTAAATATACACACGAAAGCTCACTTAGCAAGAAAAGTTCAGAGTCTCCAAGGCACAACTCCAAACACGGTGAAGCAGGAAGCTTCAAACAAACAGCCAGCAAATGAACACGTCATTCCCAGCAACGCCTCCCTCTGCCTGCTGTCATAATTAGCCAGTTTCCCGATGCAGCCCATCAAGACGGGCGGGCTCCTCTCCTCCTGAGTAGTCTGGCTGGCCTCCATTGCTCCTGCCTTTTCTCTGCCCTGCACGATCTCGGATCAGGTGCAGAAGGCAGTTCCTCGTCCTCTTCACTGGCAATCTGCCCCTGTAGGCTTTCTCCAGATGAAGCCCCCTCTGATTCTCTTTCTGCCGACTGTTCAGAGTCATTAATTAACTGAGTTCCTAAAGTGCCAGGAATGGGCTCATCCTCCCTTGAGCTTATCTCTGAGAAAGAATCTGGGGAATCGTCCAAGAGAGACATCATAGTTTGGGGGAGAAAGGAGATCTGGTCAAACTGGCAATGCATTATGTCTCTGATAAATCAGACAAGGGAAGCTAAGCCAAGCTTAACAAAGCTATCAGGATTTGGATATGGAAGCTAGAATAGAACAGAACTACCATCTTCTTAAATTTGATAAAGACTCCTAATGGATGTTATAAGCACTGAGGAAGGCTTCATCGAAGAATTTTTGGCTATTTGGAACAGGATGAGATGTATAGAAAATTGAACTAGCATAGCAGTAAAATCCTCCACAAATGAGAATACTGGATCCTACGTATATGACCATTTTGGTTGTTTAAATTCATACTAAGGGATAGGACAATCCGGATTACGTATATTATGTGCATACCAATATCTTCTGAATTGAAGAAAGTTGTGTGATCACTATTTTGTCATCCATATATGACATAGGTGTCCCTAGAAGGCAAAAGTTGAACAAATGAAGAAGGCAGATTCTCCCCAACCAGATACAGGAACTACAGTCCACTCTACTGTTACATCTAGATTAGCCATAAGAATTAAAAATGTTGGTTTCAAAGCCTATTTCAAGATAGAAGATGCCTAGCGCAGAAAATCATGCCAGAAATGAAGAGGTGAAGCGTATCTTGAGACAGTAATCAGAAGTGGGCTCTCCTAAAGTGGCTCGCACTAATGTGATTCAATGTAGCCACTGAAATTGGATTAGTATGATATGCCCGGCTCTTTATCCTTGGATATAGTCTCCTACAACACAATTAAGCTGTATTTATAAAATCCAAACATTTTGTAGTTTGCTAAACTATGTTGATAAAATTTTTAGTATGTATATATAGAAAAATGAATCATAGTCAGGAAATCCAAATGGCATGGGAACTTAAGAGCATAATGTTGTGAGTAAAGAGGATGGCCTTAAAGGACAGAGAGAGCATCTGTTACCAAGGCAATAATCAATGAATGAGGCTTGAGCTCAGACAGCCCTCCCCCTAATTCATATGAAGACAGAGGAAGCACATTCTGCCTTGTAAGGTTAATATCAGACTGATAAAGTAGAACATACTGAAAAACGGGTGCTATGTAGACTTAAATCTACTTTTATTAGAATAGTAATAGTAATAGTAGCAGAGTCTTGCAAATCTGAATGTGTTTTCTTTTTCCTCCTTTTATCTTTATGATAATGAGGGCAGGGGGCTAAATAAATGTTTAGTTTGTAAGTAAATTTGATTTCCCTCACTGTAGATATTATTGGAGTTAAAAGTAGACATCAGTAGTAAAATCTCCATATTCATTCCTAGGCAAAATTCATTGAGTTGTCTTTCTCTTTCTGAGCTTCAGTCTACCAAGAAGTATTTAAATATGAAATGATTTTAATATTTGTATACATGTTGTACTTTGATAATAAAGGTTCATTCATTCATTCATGTGGCTTTCAAGTTATATTTTTTAGTGTACAGATTTTTTCATGCCATAGTTGCAGGCTGCTTTGAGGAAGGCTTTCTAAAAC